CGCCGATGGTAACGCACAGGAGCTCGACGACGACGCCGCGGGCTCCAAACACGGCGCGAGCTCCCCGCCACGCCGGGCCACGCCTCAGACATATATACATGCGGAGAGGAGCAAAAGTAGCAGCCGGGCGCGTCTGAATCGCAGATTCAATTCAGGTAAATTTGATTAGGAGGACGGATCTTGGAGGGTTGACTGACGTCTTGCTTGACGTCTGATCGCGCAAGGCCAGGCACAGGCAGGCATCCGACTGCCACCCACCCACCCACCTCTCACCCAGCTCCGCCCGCGCCCCGGCCCAGCCCGACTGCTGGCTTCCGCGCCGAATATTCCTGTGATATGTCGCCTCGCCTTTGACGGGGGCCCCCGCCCGGGCCCCACCCGGGGCGCGCAGAGGCGCCAGCAATACCGTTTGACTCGCGCCACCTCATCCACTCGGCTGAGACAGCCGCCCTTTGGAACGCTCCGACATACATATACAGCCCCTCTTGCAGGGAACGCCTGCCGTATGCCGCAGGACCACCTGAAACGCGTTCTTCACCTCGCCCAGGGCTTTCTTGCAGGGCCTCTCAACAGACCCGCCTCCGCGAAAGCTCGGAACGGCAAGAGCAGTCCGTAAAATAAACCGCAAAAACTAAAAAAAAAAGTCTTGATTCGCTTCCTCTTGGAGCGGACGACAGGTTAGCAGTTAGCAGGTCCTACCCCCCTGGCCCGGCCTGGGCTGGCCACCCGGGGCTGCCTTTGGCTGGCCGCGCCGTTAAGGCGATGCTATTTAATTGGCCGTAAAAGTGACGTAAAACAAGATTCGAGGCGGACGGGGGCAGCTCGGCTAGCGACTGTTGCAGCCCACCTTTATTATTGTGGACCACCGCCGGAGAGCTTAGAGGATTAAGGGGACCCCGGACTAAAAACTTATAAAATTGGCAAGTATGATCGCAAAAGGTAAATGTTTAGTTGCCTATTTCCTAGGAGGTCAAGGCAAGCAAGGCAGTAAGAATTATCCGTAACAAGAAACAACACTTTTAAGGCCTATAGAAGAAAAATGAGATTATAAAAAACAATGTAAAAGACGGGACAAGTACCAAAGCATGTCATCGTGAAACTACATCGGACGAAAAGACGTCCGCTAGAGAATATAACGACATCAAAAGCAAGGCGGGGTGGAGTGTGTTCGTTACGTGATCGCGAGGGGCCTCGCCTCCCTACAGTCCTTCTACCTGTGCGTGTGTGTGTGTCTGTCTGTGTGAGTGAGTGTCTGACCGCGGGCGTTTGGAACGTGCCCCTGGTGGTCTGGATAAGGAGGAGAATCAACTAATTTCCTTTTCTTTTCCCTCCCTTCTCCGCTTCGCCTCCCCCAGCCGTCGAGGCCAAACACAGACAGACGCGCCCCTCAGCCATACTGCCTGCGGGGGGAGAAGAACTGGCTGGTCCGTCAACCTCTTACTTTCGCGCTCTACACCGGAAAAAAAAGAGGAGAAAAGAAAAAGACATACCATTGTGCAATTTCAACTTTAAAATAAAAAAACAAAAAGCTAAAACTGCTCCGAAATTTTTGTTGCAGAAAAGCTATTGAATTTTTGGGAAAGACTGTTAAGTTTACTTCCAAAATCATTGAATATGGTGTACTAAATATTATTCCGGTGATCCTCCATATTCTAAAAAAAATTATAATGTTGAACTTTCACCTCGAATCAAAAATTTAAGCATAAACATTGCATGGTCATTAGCCAAACGAGCCCAACCTAATCTTACGCGATTTCTCGAAGTGAAGAAGCGTAGAAAAGGGCGTTGTATCGTATCAGGTCCCGTACCCTAAAAGTGCTAGTCTCACCTGCAGTCTCCGTCTCCTCGCTGGCGGGCTCCTCCTCGTCCTCGTCCACGGCGGCGGCCTCGGCCTGGATCACGGACACCTTCGGGATCCCTGCGGGTCAAACGCTCTGGCGGTTAGCAGGTGTGTTCGAGCGGGTCCGGGGCGCTGTGCAGGGGCTGGGCCGGGTACTCACTGACGCAGGGCGCGATGTGCGAGCGGCTCTGCTGGTAGCCCCTGGCGCAGCGGTTGCAGGTGGTCCCCGTCACGCCGTCCTTGCAGGGGCACTGGCCGCTCGTCTGGTTGCACGTCTTGCCCGAGGCGCCGATCGGGTGGCAGTCGCACGCTGTGGAGCAACAACAAAAACAACAACAAAGCATCAGGAATCAGATCAGAAGTAATAAATAAGCAAAGAGGTATATATTATGCCGCGCTGCCTCGCTTGCAAAAGGGCTTCGCGTGCAAAAAGGCGCAGCGGTCCGGCGGCCGGTGGGGCCCAGGCGTGCGGCCGGGAGCGGTCCGGGATGCTAAGTACAAGGCGTGGTGACCCGCCCTGCCCCCGGCCCGCCCCCGGACCGGCCCGGACGCGCGCGACGCAGCCAGTGTGACCTCCATCACTCCACTCCCCGAGGTCGTTTACAGAGCCATAATTATTCAGGGGTTATCTAACTACGCGGACACGGGGGCTGCTAGAGGGTCGACCGCCTCTCCGCCCGGTGTAACGGTAGCAACGGGATGGGGGGCTGGGCAGGATACACCCAGAGGATGGGGGCCGAAGAAGCCTCTTCCCGCAGGGTACACAGTCGGCTGCACTTGCCGCGCCTGCAAGGCAAGGCAGTTCCCCAGACTGATCTGGGGTCCGCCCCCTCCCCTTCGCCTTTCCTTCGCGAGGGACAGAATGGCTCTAGTCGGACCGACCGGCCGATTTTCGTTGCCATCGAATGGCTGGCCGTAAAATCAAAATGCAAATTCCTTTCGCGCGCACCGCCGCCACGGCGCGCCACCCCGCGAGAGCGCCATTGCGAGCCCCGCGCCGCCGCTCGCCCCGGCCGAGGAGGAGGAGGAGGAGGAGGAGAGCAACGAACACCCCGCCGAGCCGAGACTGGCAAATAAGGAGGCGGGCGCACGCCTGAAATATCTTTATTGCGGGCGGACCGACGGGAGGGCGGCGAGGGAAGAGGCACCAGGAGCGAAGAATGCCTCTCGAGGCCTGCCTGGACCGACCGACCGACCGGCTGATCGAGTTGAGCCCCTGCCGCTTTTGCACAATGCAGGGCGCCAATGAGTTGTCGCTCGCTGCGGCCGCTGCTGCCCTTTTGCTCAGCTGTCTGGCCCGGCCCGGGGCGACAGGCCCCACCCGCCCTGCCCCACCTCACCACACCCCGCCCCAGTCACGCCACGCCGCCGTCGCCTTCGAATCACGATGATGCATGGGTAAGGAGATTGCGGGTAATTACAGCCGGTGAATAGCGTCACCTGCGCCGCCGCGTCGCCCAAGCCGAGCCGAGGCGGAGGTACGGCCCCGCGTACGGCGTGGCGTGGCGTGGCGTGGCGCTGCCGTCCAGACTAATTGCCGTGACGTTTGGCTTACCGGCCCACCACACACTGCTGTCCTCCTCTCCTCCAGCCTCCACCTCCCTCCCCCCCTTCTCCCTTTCGCCGGGTACATACGGTGTGTACGTGGCCCCGACGACGACGCTGAGACACATGCATTTCTTTCCCGTCCCGCCGTCCCGGCTGCCGCCTGTCTGGCGAGGCGCGAGTCCTGACACCTTCTGGCTGCGCGGACGTGACCACCCGGCCAAATATCCACGAGGTATGTGTCTGGCTCCGAGGAGAAAGAGAGAGGAGGGAGTCACAAAATAAAAACATTTGAGAGATTCCAAAAGAAAAAGGAAAAACAACCCTTGAAAATGCGGAACACTTTGCCCGAGTGCCGGTGGAAAAGTGCCGGTGAGGCGCGCAATGCATGCGGGCGCCTTTTGAGGTCGCCCCGCCGCCACGGCGACCTGCGATACGGAACGGATTTCGGACCGGTCCCAACCAACCCCGCCTCGGCCCGGCCCGGCCTCACCTCGCCCGCCATTTGGGTCGCAGTTTTGGTCCAGCGTTTGGCCATTTGGCCCAGCAGGCGGGCGGGCCCGGGCGGGGTTGGGAGACAAGATGATCCTATCTCTGACGCCTTGCAGACCGCTGCTCCCACCCGGCCTCCCCTCGCCGACTGGACCACATTCGCACACAGGCTTAAAAAGAAAGCATTTTTTTCCAACGTGTATGTTTTATCTCTAAACCGCTCTAAACGAAGCGGCAATTATTCAAGAACAGTGACCATACAGTAAACAACTCAGACGCTGAAAATGCTAGATAGGCGCGCGGAACATTATTTTTCGCGACCGCCGCGCCGGGTCCACATGGCTGAGCTGGTCCGCACTGGATAGACTAGCGACTCGCGCACTTGATCGACTGTATTGGCTATAAATCAAAGGCGCCCGTCCGTCCGCTCGTCCCGTCCCGGGCGACGCGCGAGCCTGCGGGGCTTTGGGCCATCTGGGGTGGGGGCGGCGCGGGGGCGGCGGCACTGGGCCACCAGGCGGCCGGGCCAACACGTGCGGCGCAGGGATTACAGCGCACACCTTCCCCGCTGTCATAAATCCACACGCGCCCTTGTCACTGGGGCTTCCGGGTGACATAGGACCGGGTTGGCCAGGGCGGCCGGGGCAGGTCGACCAGCGCGCCGACGAGCCCGCCGCTCGGACCTCGCATGGCCCACATCCAGCCCGGCCAGGGCCTCTTGCGTGTTGGTTGGCCCCGAGGACGGCGGCCCAAATAGCGCCGCTCAAAAACGCAAAGTAGCTGGCAGCAGGGAGGCGGGGGCGCAAGGGGCCTCCGCCCCATTCCGTCGGGCCGACCCGATCCCATCGGCCGTGTGCGGGGGCGGCCGGGGGCGGCGGGGTCCTTGGCGTGTATCTTGGCTCGCCTCACTTGCGTTTCCTAGCCCCCTTGGGACGAGCGGGGCGGGGCCCGGCCCGGGGTGCGTGAGGGGGCCGGCCTGCTGGCTGGACACTGCTGGACCCACCGGAGGGGCCAGGGCAACCACCCGATGAGGTGCCGACTGCAGGGTCAGCCGAAAGGGATCCAGCGGGGGTGGCGGCGGGGCGGGACGGG